CTGTGGCACACCTGATATCTGCATGAATCTCACATACTTAAAGCGTAATTCTACCTAAAATTTAAACTTGAGAAAACATTAACATTATGTTTAGTAACATTCTGCGTATATATATCAGGATTATTTTAAAATCTAAATTTTACGTCAGTATTTTTGATAATAATAAAGTACATCCTTTCCAAAATTTGTAATTAAAAATTAGAAAAAAAATTATATGAAAGGAATATTTATAGGCTACTTACAAATCATAGCAGCTTTTGGTGATTTTTTCCTCTTTTCAACACAGACAACGTATTGTTGTATACTTGTACAGGGTGTTAGAACACTATCTTCGTAATATAAAATTGATACATTTTATTTTGTTTATTTAAAAACTGGAAAACAATTGTCTTGAAATTTACTAAATGTTTTACAGTCATAGTTGTTTACGTTTTTCTTATTCCGTGGGGCAAGTCTGCTGCGTGCACATGTGGTGTGCATCAGCTGTGTAACATTAGGTCAAGCGCTGTTGTCACGTTGTGATGGAACTCCCCAATATTAATATTCGCTGTATTTTGAAAACTGTTAATCTTATGTCCCTGTAATATACAACTTTTTTGTTCATTTATGATTACTCTATCTCATGCTGAACTAATGACAGTCAAACTTTGTACACCCTTTCTATTTAGCAATTAGATGACATCTAAATATCTTCTAAATTGTATTACAAAAAAGAGACCTCTCGAGATGATGATAATTTTTAAAGTGAATATTTCGTCTATGCCGAAATTAAATTAGTTAATCCGCTGTAATTTCGTACCTAACTTGAATTAGAATCCCTACTCAGACGTATTATTCCCGACGTTAACATCGAAACACTATTTACTCACCTTTGCACCTACACTGTAGAGGTACGTCAGGTGGAATGTTGTCTATAGTGCTTTTACCAGATTTCATCAAAACAGCCATCTACAGCAATGAGGTACTTACCTTTATGCCTTACTTAACTTTAAGCAGAACGTATAGAATTGAAATTAACATAAGTATAAGTGTTAAGTAATTAGTAATATTTATGGTATGGAATATTAATAATATTTTCCACTTTTCTGAAAAACAGAACGAAAGATAAGTAATCAGCTTTTCAAGATTTTTAACGTAATTGAAATTACATCAATTTTGAGCTTGTGTATGAAAATTTAAGAAGTAATTATCGGAATTTTAAAGCCTGTTTTTCAAAAATGATTTTACATTTTAGAAATTTTCGGGGACTTGTTAGTTTCATGATCATATCAAATTTACGCATAAAAAATCGATAACAAAAAGTTTTCAACTGAGACTGACTAAAAAACCATGGTCAGTCAAGTATTTCGTAATTTTTTGTAAACCCTTTAGTATCAAAAAATATTTTTGCTATAAATTTATTTCAAGTAGTTCCACTTCTTATTTGTGGAAGGGCGAAATGGGCGGTGACTATTAGACGCCTTCATTATAGCCATCCTTGTCTATCACATGGATTTCTATGGCTTACTTTATCGCTCTCACGTAACTTCTGATAGACCATCGGTACTTTCCTACACTGTATACTGATACGTTACTTAAACTACGCCTTTAATGTCGATTGAAGAAAAAATTTATTGTAGAAACTGTTACGTTATAAAATTTGGATTTGTATAGATGGATAACATAAGTGGAAAATAATAAATCATTTATAATTAACGATATAACAATTTTAAAAAATGGCAAATAAGATACAGTGAATATCCAATATATCTACATATATTAGAATAAAAAGCAAGTGGACCATATATTAAAATTAGGGGCATGAATTTCGTATATCTACAGCATAAAGACACTAAACTTAAAGCTTTATACCTGTCTGCACATAGAACGTAAGTGCGTGTGGTCCAAAGGAAAGAATAATCGGGCTGAATAATTTATATCGTTTTTCGGTCTCAAAGGGAAACATATAAATTTGTCATTTTACAAGCAAATTTATATTTTACGGTTGTTAGCACTGCTGTTTCAGCTACGTAACATATGTTTCCGAAATACACTCGAATTATTTATATGCACAATAAAAATGTTTTGAGAAAATATTATAAATGTCACTTTGTATTTTTAAACTATACGATATTACCACGAAATGTGTTTTTAACGGAAATGAGGTACATTTAAAATGTTCACAGCAACATATTTAACACCGTTATAACTTTTACTTATGTATGTTTGATTTGTTGAACGGTTAAATTTGTGAAATGTAACAAATAATTTCGCACATGTCTCAAATTGTTAAAAGGTTTGTTTCTTTTTAGTTCTAGCGATAACTTTATGAAAAAGTTTGTTTAAATTTTAAATATTTTTGACACATGTCCGTTATTTCAAAATGACGTAAATACACGGATTTGTGTTGAGTAAAATGTAATTTTAAAATCTGACTTACCTCAACATTGCACCTATTGAGAACTGCTGATTTTCATAGAAGATGTTCGATGTATCCACCATTTGCTTACACACAAGCTTCAGCGCGACGTATCCAATTCGCTCGCACGCGTTGCAACATTGTCACGTTGATCGATGTCACGAACTTCCATGGAATACACAACACTTTTCACATATCACCACAAAAAGAAGTCTAAAGGGGTAAGGTCCGGGGACCGGGGAGGCCATCTAACTAGGCTTAGTCAACAAGTCGTTTGAACTTGGTATTTTTCCGCAAAATTTAAAAACTAGTAAAGTTACTCCTCTATTTAAAAAAAATGATCCGACCTTAAGGTAAAATTATAGACCCGTTGCTGTTCCGTATGGGTTCTCCAAAATATTTAAATATGCATTTTTAGAACGCCTTTTATCATTTGTTAATAAATTTAAAATTTTATCTACGAACCAACATGGATTTTGTGAGAATAGATCGACGTCATCTGTAATGTTATCTCTTTATAATCAAATCATTGAATTTGTTGAAGCCGACGAATGTCCAGCAGTTATTTTTTGTGATTTGAGCAGATCCTTTGACTGCGTAAATCATAATTTATTACTATCTGTTATGGAAAAATATGGCATAAGAGGAACTGCACTTAACTGGGTATCAACATTTCTTCGGGGTCGTCAACAGTATGTGTCTTTAAAGGTCGAATCTAAACAATCTATAGATTTTATGCAATCCGGTTGTTTAAATTCGGATGTAGGTGTACCTCAGGGCTTAATAATAAGACCTGTTTATGCTGATGACTTTTTAATGGTTTTATCGTCAAGGGATTCAGATGCATTGAGTAGCAGAACCGCAGAGGCAGTGGGGAGAGTCTCACAGTACTTTAATAGTATCGATTTGTTTTTTAACGTGAACAAAACTGATAATTTAAGAATACATGATTATCAAAGAACTATCGAAGATATACATATTAAAGTAAATAATAAAATTGTGACTAATGCACACGAAGTTGAATGTTTTCTAGGTGTTTATTTGGATGAATTACCGAACTTTAAATTACATGAAATCAATTCTCTGAAGTTTCTTTTCTTAAATTTGCAAACGGTGCTGAACCTTTCACAGCTTGTACACGTTTACTATGCCCAAGTAGATTCAAGACTTAGATAAGGAATTTGCTTATAGGCTAATTCGACTAATTCAGTGAGTGTTTTTATTGCTCAAAAAAGAATCATCCGTTGTATGTTAAAAATCTCAGACAGAGAGTCATGTAGACAATATTTTAAGGAATTAAACATTTTACCCCTTCCATGCTTGTTTATATACGATTATGTGTTTATGTATATAGAAATAAGAAAAGCATTGACATTAATAAAGATAAGTACAATTATAACACTAGACATGCTGGTGATCTTAGAATGCCGTTTGCCAAACTCAAACTAGCTCTGAATGCTCCTTGCTGTTTGGGTCCAAAATGTTTTAATCGTTTAACAAACGATGTTAAATATCGTTTGCCTGTAAATATTTTTAAACGATAAATGATCGATAAATGTTTTTATAGTGTGTCAGAGTTTTTAGATTTTTAAATTGTCTTTTTTTTGTTAGATTAAGTATGCGACGAATCTTATACATGTATACTGTCTTAATGGAAAATAAATCATTATTATTATTATTACTATTATTATTATTATTAAAAGTGAAGACTATGTTGATTTGCTTTTACGATTCTAAAGGCATTGTCCGCAAAAAGTTTGTTTAAGTTAGTTTGTTTCTTTGTTTTAAGTTCAATTAATACTCAGCTTTCAAAGTAGTATATTCCGATAGAAATAGACATTTTGGAGGTGTTTAATACTAAAATGCAGATTTATTCCTTATTACTTACTATTTATTACTTTATTACTTTGTGAGGAAGCAACTCTCATTGTTGTATTTGTCAAAGTATTCATAATATTTCTTTTAGTCGCTCTAAATACTCATATATACATTTTAGAATGTGGTTAGCGACCCAATAACAACACATTTCAAAACATCATCAATTTCTGGACTTGTTTATCCAAGGTAAAAGTCAACACCCGCTAACAAGCCGTCCCTATCCAATAATTCACAAACCCCGGAAAAATATTAACACTAAAATTAACACAGGTGAGAAAACACCGTACCGCCCCCTACATGCCACCGCGTTCACTTCATACTCGTAAGTCTTCCCCGCGCCAAAAAAACAATCAAAACAGCAAGTCAAACGCGTCCCCATTTAAACAAGTATAAAATAACAAACGTATAAGCCTTTAATGATGACACATTACTTATTTACACAGTGTTTAATGACAAACTAAGCCTATTTATTGCCAGAAATGTTTACCAATTGTCACAGTTATTATATCCTAGTAGACCAATGTTTTGCCAAGGCACCGCCTCAGCTCACTAGACTTCGGGGCGTCCACCGAGTGGAAGGGGCAAATTAGACTTAAGCCATTTCCACGGATTTTTCAGTTTGATTCATACGCTCCAGCTCCGACTTTTATGTAAATGCGCAAGTGACGTGTGCGCGGCTACCAAACTTTGAGTAATGTCAATCAGATGCTGAGTCGCCCTTTTTGCACGTCTCGCGGGTCGTATGATTTAGGTAATGTGGTACCAGTTTTGTATATTTCTGTAACTAGTGTAGTGCCATTTTTTCTATTATATTTAGATCAGGTAGTTCTGGGTGCTAGTTTTAGTGTGAGCGTTCGTGGGAGGAAGTAAGTAGGTAAATTGAAATGAAAGCAGTTGATGTACATACATTTTTTTTTTCATTCATTAATTTTGATATAAAGACTTTTAAATATAGAAGCTATATGGAATATTTTTTATAAGGAATATGCGAAAAACTTAAATGTTTTTGTTTTCATTCGCAATTGTTGGTTGATTTGAGTATTTTGCCGCACGGAAAAGTCATGGGACGTGAATATGTAAATATGTATACTAAAACAAACTAATCCAATTTTCAATAAAATTTAATTATGGTTTTTTGCCCAGTATTTAGACCAAATGTTTATTATATTTCTCCTTCCTGTAAAATTTGGATTTATGATACGGTTTTCAAGAGAATTTCAACTTCAATCTGAATTAATTTCCCCTTTTTTCCTAAGCGACAAAATAAACTAGTAAATTTTCATGGGTTAGTACTCGGATATGATTCTATATAACGTCCAACAGCCAAATTTGTTATTTATTTGCCTTAAACAGAAAATTCGAGTTTTGAGCTTGAATGTGAAAACGTATTGCCGATGACTAAAATCATAAATTTTCCAGCATATTTGGTCCTCTCTCATCAACATGTCGAAGTTTGCATTGGTGTTATTGGTAGACATATTGGACATATTATTTGTAACAGATCAATAATCTGTGTCTTGTTTTCTTCAAATTTCAGTATTGATATGCGTTAACCTAAAATCTCGATTTTAAATGAATTCAGTTTCTTAAATTAGACTAATTAAATTAAGGGATCGTTTAACACAAAACTCTTGCCAAAGTCGTTATTTGAAAATACACTATTTTTTAAGAACAAGGGCTTTAAGTGTACCGTAAATTCGCTATTAAACATATTTTGGTAAATTTATGAACTTATAAAAAACAAATTTCTGGTATCGAAGTATGTTGTTCGACTTTATTCGATAGGATTTTTTTGAATTAGATTAATATCTTAATAAATCGTCAGAATACTAAATTTGTTGTGAAATAAAATAGTTATTCTTCAAGTAACCATTTGAAATAAAGTATTTTTACATGGCCTCCTCAACTGTTTTTTTGTAACTTGGAATAAATAGACCAGTGCTTAAGCCTTCAAAAATGGTAAAAAGTGAAAAAAAATATAGTAGGATGAATCCCATTGGAAAAGGAAGAGAATATAACAGGAATGAAATGAAAAATAATTTACGGGCGATCTGAGGTCGGGAAGGGGAAGGGAGTGAGTTTTTAAGGGTAAAAAACGGTTTATCTTGATTTCCGGAAAAACTACAAGTCTTATGGAAAAAAGTTAAATGGCAAAGTTGTAGGTAATAAAAAGATCTACAACTTTTGTGTTTACACTTTTTTCACATAACCTCAAAATTTATGTGAAAAATTCAAATAACCAAGTTTTGGTTTTTTATTTTTATCTTTAACAAACAATTTTTTTTTCACGAAATTTGGTGAACACTTAGGTACCTATTTATGTCCCAAACACGCTGTAATTTTTTTTATTTGAAATATTTATTTTTTCACCTTATTTTTACTTAATATCGAAAAAGAACCCTAATTTTCAATCAAAACTTCTCACGTCAAAATATCTCTTTTTTTAAAAACGTCGGTGGGCTTTTTCTTCGTTGAAATCTCTACTTTCTGATGGTGTAAAAAAAATATACATTACTATGGTAAGTTTTCTCAGGAAATGCAAAGAAACGAACTAGAATCCGAAAATTTTTTTCTAATCATTATGTACAATTTTGAGCTATTTATTAAAATTTACACTTTAATTACTCGAAAAACGTAAGATTCCATGTTATATTGATAAACAAAAAAATTACAAGTCGAAATATACTAATATAATTAACATCCAAATAAGTTAATAAAGTTAATATTTAATAAGACATCTACAATATTTTGAGAAAGTTGTAGAATCTTCTTTCGCTTCTTTGCATTTCCTGAGAAAACTTACCATAGTAATGTATATTTTTTGTGCACCATCAGAAAGTAGAAATTTCAACGAAGAAAAAGCCCACCAACGTTTTTCAAAAAGCAGATATTTTGACGTGAGAATTTTCGATTGAAAATTAGAGTGCTTTTTCGATATTAAGTAAAAATAAGGTGAAAAAATAAATATTTGAAATCAAAAAAATTACAGCGTGTTTGGGACATGAATAGGTAAGTTTTCACCAAATTTCGTAAAAAAAAATTTGTTTGTAAAAGATAAAAACAAAAAACCAAAAACTTGGTTATTTGAATTTTTCACATAAATTTTGAGGTTATGTGAAAAAAGTGTAAACACAAAAGTTGTAGATCTTTTTATTACCTACAACTTTGCCATTTAACTTTTTTCCATAAGACTTGTAGTTTTTCCGGAAATCAAGATAAACCGTTTTTTACCCTTAAAAACTCACCCCCTTCCCCTTCCCGACTTCAGATCGCGCGTGAATTATTTTTTCTTTCATTTCTGTTATATTCTCTTTCTTTTCCAATGGGTTTCATCCTACTATAATTTTTTTTGGTTTCAAAAATTATCGACCCGGGTCTAAAACCACATAATGGTTCTATTAATTTTGAAGACTCTGTATATCGAAATGAAACGTTTCTGGGCGCAGGTTTATAGGGATATTTCGTGTTAATTTGTGATGTACAATCCGCCATTTACTTTAGTTTAGTTTAGGTTTACAGAAAGCCTCAAAATATAAAATTTTATGGTATAGTATTTTTATGTTTACATACAAATATATGAAAATTGGGTCAACAACAAAAATGTTGCAAAGTAAATAAATAACAACAGGCAAATAAATAGTATTTTTAACTGTCACATAATAAGTAGGTAAGTTTAGTACGTCATTTAATTATACTGATTTATGTATTTAAATATATTTTTTCTACTGTAAGTTTAAGAAATGTTTATACAAATTATTATTTTAATTTGTACGAGACCTGATAGCTTGTTAAAAAAAAGAATAGAAATTATGTTCCTTTTTTATTAAAAATAAATCATGAATTCGTTTATTATTCTTTTCTCGTAAACGGTTCATTTTATCGACAATAAACAAGAGCATCTTTTTTAGTCTAAGGTGAAGCTACCCAGATTTATTATTTTAAAGTCTTTATTATACAGGGTGTTAAAAATTTATGCATTAAGTTGTAAAGCTTAGCCTGCTCCTGGTAAACTGAAAAAAAAAATAATGTCTTATGAAATAGTTGACTTTCTGTGGACCATATACTTTACACTTAAACTTGTAACATGTGTATCAAAGATCAAATGAAAAGTATTTACAGATTTAAGGGATCTCGCGAAGACGACCGACCCCTCGATTCAGCCGACGATGTTCCCTCTCCAGCAACTGGATCCCTGCTACTGCCTGGACCACCTCACGGACTGCGTCCACACCAGCCTCACCCACAACCCCTTCCTGACGCAGAGGCTCTTCAACCCGTACTACCCCCAGCTGTGGTTCCCCCTGCCGATAAAGGTGGCGCAGCCCCGTCCGGAGAAGCCGCCCTATTCCTACATCGCCCTCATCGCCATGGCCATCTCGTCCTCGCCCAAGCAACGGCTGACCCTCAGCGGGATCTACAGATTCATTATGGACAATTTCCCTTACTACAGAGAAAACAAGCAAGGCTGGCAGAATTCTATCAGACACAACCTTAGTTTAAATGACTGTTTTGTGAAAGTGCCCAGGGATAAAGTGTCGCCTGGGGGCGGTGAGCAGGCCGGAGGGAAGGGCAGTTATTGGATGCTGGACCCCAAGGCGGCCAATATGTTCGAGAAGGGCAACTACCGCAGGAGGAAGACGAGGAGGCAGAGAATCGCTGAGTGTACTGCTAACATGTATCAGGTGAGGTCTGGGGGATCAAATGGGCAACTTGCATATATTTTTATAAATGTCTATGAATAATTTATAACTTTATATAATATTGTAGTGAAAATATAAAAAACCTCTTAGAGGTTTGAGTTTAAAAAAAAAATTCTTAAAAATTCTCAAAAGGAACAAAATTCATAAATTTTTATACATTGCTGTTCAGAGCTAGTTGTCTTGTTGGCTGATGGGGATTTTCTTCAATTTCCAGCAACATATTTAACTTGGTTTCTTCAGCGATTTGAGGTAGACCTTATCGTGTCCTACCTCTTACGCATCCAGTCTGTAAACTTGGCGACCAATTTATTCACCGCAGATCGTGCAATTGGTAGTCTGTCAGCATGTGTTTGATTAAACAGCTCATGTTTTCGCATGGGTTCGTAGCTTATCACCATATCCAAACATCATTAAGATCTCTATCCTTTCACGTTCAGTTAAATGTGCCATTCCTTCTAAGCTCCAAAAAATTCAGTGATAAATTTGCAAAGTTTATTAATATTATACAACGTACTAATTTGTGCAAATGTCACGCTAGAACAGTGGTGTTTTTGTTTCTAAGCAACGACCAAAAAACGAAATTTAATAATTTTTATGCAAACTTTTTTAGTTTTTTTTTCCGTTAATTATTTGCATTTGTTTCGTTTCCAAGTACAATTTCTTTTATAAAAAATGAAATTTTTTGAAATAAATGTCATTTTCACGCAATATCTCGTTTGTTATTTGAGATAGACCAATCAAACCTTACATCACTGTATTGGTAAGACAAAACTTTATCAGAATATGAAAAAATATACAGGGTGTTCCATAAAAAAAACAAATTTATTGGCCGTCCAACTTTTATGGGTCACCCTGTATACAACTGAATCATCTTAAAATATACCCCTCCCAAGAACAAAATCGACCTGTCTCGGCGTTCTTTTAAAGATCACTCAGTATAGAAGTTATGAATTTTGTTCCGAACTTTGTCATCACGCTGTATACAATAATGTCAAAGTTATGAGATACGTATTACTTCTGGACAATAACTGAATAAATAATGAACTTGATCCATAGTTATAAGCTAGGTAGATCAAAGGAACCGCAAGGGTTGCAAAGTCAGCATCGCGCAAAATAAATGTTTTAAATAATGCTAATGCGTGACGTCATTCAGTGCCATCGTGAAACGAGAAGATGAATGACAGGGAAATACTATCTACCAATCTTAAAATGTCATAATTGCATATTTTTCCGATTTATCTATAAGTTGAAGACAGTTACAATTCGAGTAACTAATAAAACCAAGAAATATTTCGTTTATTTACTTGTCACTATAAAATTTTCTTAAAATTCCAGAAGCGAGTTACGTTTTTATTCAATTTTGCATAGTTATCATAATATTACAAAATTAAATCATTTAGATACTTTAAACAGATAAATGGACTAGATAATAATTAACTATGCCTATTTAGCTTGCCACCAGAAAATCCTTCACGACTTTGGTGGATAAATAACAACAATTTGGTTTCTGTCATTGGTAGCCAAATACCTATTTTGTTGTTCCTTAATAAATATTTTTGTAATCGCCGTTTGGCTTTATAAATATTGTACGTCTACTTCTTATGAATTGGTATGGATACTGAACTCCAATATCGATTTCAATGACAATCTAGAAAACGTATTTCTTCGAAGCATGCTGTTGTTATATTGTTCGGCAGATAATAATGTATACGAATGAAACAAATTATCTTAATTTTAACAGTACGTTTTTGTTTCCAAGCTTGTTAAATATGTTTTACTTACAGCTCGGGAAATAGAAGGGGAAAGTGGGAAATGTGCAGCAATATTCGTACATTAAATCAATGGAAAAAATTCGTTTCCAATACTGTAAATTGACTGAGCATTCATCTAGACAAAGTTTAATTTCGGCAAATTAATTTTGAAGCAATTTCCTATATTCACTCATTTTGGGTTTTCTACTGGCAACATTGGTACAAAGACATTTCTTAATTTGTGAGTAATATTATAAGAATAAAGCAAATTTATCTTGTTTAAAACTTTTACTTTACATTTAATAGGTGATATATGAAAACGCTGTGCAGATAGAAAAGGTCTGATGTTTTAACTTTTTAATATAAAGTAAAAATTTAAAAGACAGAGATCAGATTACTGAGTGAATCAGGCATAAGACTATCCATATTACTTATAAATAAATTAATGTCAAAATTTATTAGGATATCATTTGGATCAAATTGCACCTACGATCTGCTCATAAAAGGAAATGGTTACACGAACAGGAATATCGAGGGAACCTTCAGATGGGGACCAAGAGTAAAGGAGAAGAAGAATATCTGGCAAGTAGTTATCTGCTCTATATACAAGGGTATATACTGACAAGGAAGCATCTAAAGGAAACACAATGTTGGAACATAAGTGTCACTTGAAGTATAATAGATAAAATCAGAATTCTGTTGAAAGGGAACAGATTTTGGCCAAACTTTTACAGAGAGGCAATAGAAATTTAAATGAATCGAGCTAAATTTAATGAAGATGAGGGAAATTTATTTGTATAAAACTATTAATACTTTAGTTAATATTTTTATTCTACAATATTTTTCCTATGATTTGAAATCCCAGTGATCATTAAATCAAGGGAAATTCCGTACAACTGTTTTTACCACTCTCACCCCATTCTGCCGACAAAGGGTTGTTAAATGGAAGTTACTGGTTTTTTTGCAAGGTTCTCAAAAGTTTTAATTCGAATAGCAGAGTTAACATTTTTAATTAGCTTTGTTTCAAATAATTCCCAACGCGTCCCCTTCGTAATAGCATAAAAACAACTTAAAGTGGATCTCCTCTACAAAGCGCCATAAGACCGGTGCTTTGTCCGTTTAAAAAGTAATTATAATGCATTTTTAATAGTTTTCAAATATTTGATTATAATTAGGGAAAGAAAGAAAGTTAATGGGATGGAATATAATCAGGGGGTTAGAATAGATTTGTTTGAATTGATGCAGTCTTTGGTTTAAATGATTCAGCTTTGGATGTACAATATAAGTTCGTTCTACATTCTTCTGAGAGCAATTTATTTGTTTCTGTCTGTTAGTTTTATTTACAAGAAAGCAAAATTTTCTGTCGCAGCAAATCTGTATAATTCCTGATTCATTTTATAGAAAGGGTCGCGAATTTTAAACTATATTGAATTTCAATCGTTGTCAGATAAATATACAAGGTGTTAATGAAATAAGTACTCAAAATTGGAGAGTATGTAAAATATGTTGAAATATGATAAATAGTAATACAACCCCAAAATTTCGTGATTTAATATCAAACCGTTTTGAAGTTATGCATTAAAAACTGTTTCCTGAGTGATCCCTTCAAGGGAATGTATCTCTCTTAGGGGCCGCCACTGATAAAAACTCTACTAAGATTTTGATCATATTTCGACATGTTTTACATACTCTCCAATTTTGAGTACTATTTCGTGCCAAATTGCGATTTTGACATGCTGTGTCGATAGTGCCACGTACAGAAGGATGAATTTTTGCCATAAAAGGTAAAGCCATTATCAGACCTAAAATAAACAACACATGGAGGCTGTATACACTAAGATCGTCGTAAATGTAAGTTGTTGACACTTTAGATTATAATTAATTTTATAACTAACATGTGTTTAGCTTGTCCTAATAGATCGATAATATACAAAACAATGAAAAACCTCTCCAATATTTCTGATCGGCTTTATAATCCTAGTTTTTGGACAAATTTGTTACGGAAAGTTGTTTATTTAAAAAAATCATATTTGGAAAAGTTTTAGTATTAGTAGCAATTAAAATGTTTCAGGTTTGGTTAATTTGTTTGTTTATAGACTTGGCAATAAAATAAATAGGTTTATAATTTGTTAAGCCTCTATGTTTAGCATTAAATTTTCTAATAAATGCCATCCGCTGCATTTAAAATAAATTCGAACCATATGGTTGAAAAAAGTGGAATAGCAATTTGTTGAGACAACCGTTGAAGTTAAATAATAATTGAAAGCAACCTAGGGTGTCCGATTAGCTTTTTATGTTGTCATAAGGTGGTGGTTTTGTGATCAATAACAAACTCGGTTTAAAGCCTGTGCTAATAAATACGCCTTTATTTTGCAAAAATATTTACGATTTCCTGTTTACTTCCATTACTAATGTCGAATTTCTGTGTATCTCGTGTTTAATTTCGACACTTTGTACTTGTAAGTGTTGAAATATTTATCGAATAAACCGATTTTAATAGTTTTCATGTGGTGGTCCAATTCATTAAAGTGGGAATGCTATTTTACATAAATTTAATACTCGAAGAGAATCATTTTTAAATTCATTGTTTTATATAACTTTTGAAGAACTTTTCTGTTTTTATTTATAAAATAGAGCACAGGTTTGACATTGATAATTTCTTTTTTATGAAAAATATTATATAAAAAGAAAACTTAAAAATTGCTACAAATATTTTCTCAAACTAAAAATAAAATGTTAAGTAAGATACATAGGTACCAAAATTATTTCAAGTGTTATTACAGAAAAAATTCAGTAAAGCCACAATTAAAAAAAGTATGAAGTATGACAACTGAAAACCCAAAAACTGTCTAAAGTTGTGAAATTAATTTACTGGATAATTTCTTGCTCTTTCCCTTCGGTTCTAAAACGTAAAAATAACCGTTACGAGTAATTTCTTACGAAACTTTTTTTTATTATTTAAAAATTATGAAATTTTATGGTTTTCCATTTAAGGCTTCTTCCAATTTATTTTCTTCGATTTTGATGTATTTTTATCGCAATAAAATCTCTTCTACGAGGCAAAATCCTGTAAGCCAATTTTGCTCAAAAACTATTGCATTTACGAAAAAAGGCAACGGAAAAAGTTACCTACGCAAAAATTAAATATAGGAGTGATTATTTGTACCCCTTGCAACTGAAAAAGATATTCAAAAAATTCTTCGATAAAAAAAATAAAACTCGAGCTTGAGCCTCATGAAGCTTTATCGTTGTTTTACTGTGACAAAAATTACATTTTAAAATATTGAAATGTTCGTGAAATATTCCTCTCAAACGTCATTCAAGACATGGTTTTGTCTTTATAAATATTTGTTTTGATTTCATCTTTCAAAAAGGTAAAATAGTTTATGATCCTTACATCTTCCATGCATAAGATTCAAGATAATTATACAGGGTGATTCACAAATGCTGACCAACGTCTTAGATAAAAACTTTATGGGAAAGACTCCCCTTAAAGTTCACCAAAGGATACGAGGTTTCATTTTTAGTCACCATTTGTGAATCACCCTGTATAAAAAAGAAATAAAGATTACACGATTTGATCAGAAAAAGCAAACTCTGAAAAATGTTCGGTTTTCTGATAAAATTACATTCTTTTGTGATATTACTTTTGTTAGTAATTTATCAACGCAAAATTTTAAATGAACACAATGTTTTTTTCATGTTTTCTTTAGGGGTCTAGAACCACCTGAAATAATTCCTAATAAAGCGCGACCCCAAACCCCGCCAGGCCCGACCCTCTGCAGGTGATACCAGACCTACAGTGATCCAGATCCAATACAGTAAAACAGTGCTGTTGTCTTTTAAGTTCACGTCAAAACAAACAATCTGTAATCCTCGGCTTTTGTAAAGCCTCCATTGTGTGAGCTGCGATTCATTTCTTCACAGATGTTTACAATAGATCAATTTTATGTTAACCCTAAGATGTTTAAGTTGCTATAAAATCTAAATAATAGTCTGTTAAATTATAGAGCGGGAACGTCTTTAATATATGGCTGGTGGGTTGCGCTCTGATTTATAATCTCGCCAGGAAAATATTGATACAAGGAAAACTTAATAGATTTGACGTCTTGCAGACAATATTTTTAAACAACGACAAAAATATATCGCAAGGTTCTTATACATTTTGAAAAGTTAATAGGCATTTACATTTATGTCTGTTAGGTTGTCTTGCTATATCATGAACGATATTTGGTTGAGACATTTAAAATATGTTTAAGAATCTTAATTATACAGGGTTATGTTTAAAAAAATTAAAAATATAGTTTAAGTTTAACATCCTGTATCTTTTTAACGAAACGTCCTAGATAAAAACTTTATAGGAAAGACTCCCCTTAAAATTCACCAAAGAATACGTGGATTCATGGTCACCATTTGTGAATCACCCTGCATAGTGGAGCTCAATCCCGTTTAGTCTAATTTGATATTTTTATTAGAAATGTCCTCTTTGTAAGGAACAACCAAATGGTGGTGTGATATAACCTATAAAGCATATATCATATCTTTAAATATCTTTGCTGCATTATGTCTACTGACAAACAAAGGAGCCTTTCTCTCCACATATAATAGAGATATTATCTTTAAATTTGGTTTAAGAACAAAAATTTTGAATACATTCTGTAAATTTATTATTTCGTGGAAAATTCTCACTGTGATTTTTCTGTTTTTATACTGAAATAAAAGCATTGTTTCATTAATTTAACAGATCACAAGCTTACAGTGATTTGCAGCCGAGACCTATTCTTTTTGCTTTGTAACCCCAAATAAAATATTTTTTTTGCAAAGGTTCCTTTATTTTTTAATAAATAACAGTTACCCTTTCGCTAAACAGGCCGCGCTACGTCAAATTTCAATTCAAACACTTTTATCATTCAAGAGCTATCGGGATTTTTCGTACATACAGAGTGTTGCACCTTTTTAGTCTGTAACGCATTTAAAAATTTTTTTAGATTTTGACCGATTTATTTCTTCTATATTTGAATGCAAATTCTTATTAAATGAAGTCATATCTACTCAGATGGACAAATGTCAAATGTTACAACTTAATCTTGAAGTCAAAACATGATAATTGGGCCAAAATATATCTTAAGTCAAAGTTGCTTCATTTACAAATTACAGTGCATTTAAGGTTTTTGAATGTCAAATATTTTTCGATACATTTGTGACGTTTTCAAAAATTTAAAGTTCTCCACAACTTGCTAACTAAAATTACACCTTGTAGATATTTGATATTAATTATCATTTGATTCATCAAAATTTCAAGTATAGGCATCTTGTGTTTTTTCGGTTGGCTAAACAATTTTTGTAAATAGAATGCTCTCGATTTTTCTTTCCAGTTATCTATCTATTTTGATATTTTAGGCAACCCCACATTTCAGAGCATAATCGAAGCTTTTTTTTAGAAAGTCTAATAACTTTAACAACCTTAAAAAATTGGATAGTTTCTTGTCCCTAATATTTAAAAATTTTGAGGCGTTTACTGCTAAAATACGCTTTCTCTGTTGATTTTTTGAAAACAGACTCAGGTTTACATTTTTCTGGGACCATTAATTAATACTACTGGTTTGTATCGCCATTGTCTTGTACCCTGGAGAAACGGCTACGTTTGTAGTTTAATCTACCGTAAAACGAGTATAAAGCATTGCAGGATTTATTTTTCTATCTCTTCCAGGAACAGGCCCTCTCTCTAGTCACAAGAACGGCAGAGTCGCTCTCAGAAGGCGAGGAGCACGTGTCCGAGACGTCGAGAAGAAACAAAAATTCCAGTCTATTTACCATAGAGAATTTAATTAAAAGTAACGAGTCCAGTCATAAACTTGTTTAAATAAATACGACGTTTCATCTTTTCTTTGAAGTTGCCATGTTTTTGTGATTTAAATTATTTGTATTAGTTTTGAGGATTTCTCAACAAATAAAATTGTTTATGACTGGTTTTATAGGAGCCTATCGTAATATTTAAATTTAAATAAATATTTTACGCGAATTTTAGGCTAGGATTATTTTACGCTGTAAAAATATTATTACTGAAAATAAAGTGTTTTTTTATTAAATGGAATGTGACTCTGCTACTTAATTTTAACCCAGTTTCAGCAAAATAGCTATATTTTCTAGATATTCGTTAAATATAAAGATGAAATGCGTATTATTGCAAATACGTATTTGCTTTTACAAATTCCCAGCATTCCAAATCCCAAATCCATGGTATTTACTTGTTAGTACAATTTAAACATAAAAGAATATAGTTCTTATGTTGCAGGATGTTAGATTTGTATTTGTAAGTGCTAATATATGGCAATTAAGAAAAGTAAAACTGGTAGAAGCTGAACTCTACGTTTTCGTTGCTGCTAGTTCAACATAAAACTTACAGATGTCAGTGGTAGCCTGCTTATGCCATAATTCTCAATTATTTTTGTGATTTCAATATTTATTCTTGAAGTAACCCTATGAACATATAAAAATACTACTGAAATAAGTGACTTTATTCCACTAGTGGATAAAGTATCACTTTAGATGGTTCATATGTGTGGATAAAAGTCCGATTATAAGGTGATTGTGGATAAATAAGTAAATATATAATTTGTGCTATTAAATTTGTTACAACATTTTAAAAATTCAATAACGTTCAACGTAGAAAAATATTTTGTAAAACCTATTTATGCCATTTTTAATTATAGATAAATGATTGTCTAAAACGCTGTCATAATGATAAATATTGAGGCTTATAAAATGTGTAGACAAGATAGGAAAAATAAAAGAGTAGGTAGAAAACTAGAGATAATAAAATATGTTAAAGTTATACTACAAAATAATACAGTCATTGAACGCTTTTGGCTTTCTGCTAATATAAATAAGGTACTTGTTTGTAGGTATAGTCAGTATAGTTCTCTAAAAGTAAGTTAAAGGTCTTTAAAAGTACCTGATGATAGGTTGGTTCATATTTTACTTGAATTAGAGTGACTTCAACATAAATTTGTTTGATATTTATTTATTTATTTCAGATCAATTACTAAGAAACTATATTACATGCATTTATTTTGCCTCAATTTTCGTCTCACTAACTTATTTTCCGTTATTTTTTTTACAGATTTAAACAACAGTTTTGAACTTCTACAGATATTGAGAATATATTTATTCATTTTATACTGAAATTTTAATGTAACAGTCAGAAAAGTTGTTTGAGGTTGTAAGGAATTACTTAGGTACATTTTGGTATATCAACAACCCTCAAAACTCATTACTCTGCCTTTATGGCGTCAGAGAATACAGTTGATAACTGTTGAACATTACTAATGAATATAAAACACTTTTGTTGTTTTGTGAAAAACAATTTACAAACAATGTTTCCAAAATAGAATCGATCAAATACAAACAATACCTTCATACATTATGTTTACTAAGATGACATTGAAATGACGTCTTTTGAAATTAAATTGGCTGTTTCTGAAGTAAAAGAAATGCTGATACGACTCCAGTATTTCAGTATTATTCAAAATTTCAGTTTCACCAACGTAAACAAGCGAAATAGCCGTCCTGTGGCTTACAAACATGGCTAATGCATACATTAGCATAAATTTCAATAAACCCGGATTGATAATACTCCAAAAGTAACATTTATATAAATAACTGTTTTCCATGACGTTGGCGGTAGTTAACGAGAGAAGCACCCGTACGGAAAATGAATGCACGTATTTAGCCGGCAGATAAGATCATGTGCATATCTAATTTGGTCTGGAATATGGGAGGAATATGGAATATACTCACCGTAAAGTTCCACCTTAATTCAGTGATTTGCAATTTCAATTGCGCCACATTTCGTTAAGTAACGCTTGTGTACGGAGGAGCTTTATCTTCCACAGATAATATATTCAATGGAATGGCAATAGAAGTCATCCTTAGTCTTCTGTGTCGCATGCGGTGGTGTGAGCTGGCGTAAATCTAAAACTTTGCTAGCCCAGCAAGATCTACGTCCTAGACCGCTATTCTCTCACATAATGGAAACTCATCTTCGAGTGTTAAATGGACGCCGATTACACCTAGTGTTCTCTTTGTAGAATAAAATGTTTATTAAAATTTCGACCGCTGCATTAGAGAAATACAGGGTGTCCCGCATAAGAACTAACAGGGCAGGTGTATGTAGGGGTGTCCAAAATATTACTATTTTTCAATTCGGTCAATGAAAAAAAAAATTCTGAACAATTTTAGAGGTGAGTCATCCCCAATGAACACCTTGTAGAGCTTCAATTAACTTTAAATCACAGTCAAAGAAGACCAGTAATAAACCTAAATCGTGTACCAAATTTGGTTCTTCTACGGTAAAGTGCTGCAGAGATATTAATTTTTTTCAAAATTTCACGCATGTTTCTAAAACAATTCGATAACCTTACAAAAAAACAATCACAAACCTCAAAACCTCGCGACTACAGAGTTCAATCAAGGCATTTTGATGCCATAGAAAATAGCAGCAGTATAAAGGAAGCCCTGAGGACCATTTCACAAAACCTGCTCCTAAACCATTATGAAGGGTACTTGTAATTGGTTAAAATAATATTCGGCAATGACGTGAGTAGCACTTTTACGATGATTCGTTGACCTGAAACAACCACGCTATACGTTATCTGTAAAAGTGCGTGCAAGTATACGAACCGCGATTATTCATTTATATATATATTGTCTTTATATTTGCTCTAAATAATGCCCAAGGTGTACTGTGCGCTAAATTCGAGTCGGTTACCTGCGAAATATTATAGCTGCATTGCATGTATGCATGTCCCACGTTACAAGTGTCGGTAGATCGCATATTTTACAAATAATCGGGCGGGCCCCTATGGGAGAGCGCGGTGGTACGGTTACGTGTCATTCAGGCCGAAACTGCCTAAGAAACCCGTACCAACCCGTACGATTGTTAGGACTGCTTGTAATTAACTTCTGGAGGTGCTTAATACTTTTGTTTGAGTGTGGATTTAGTAAATTTACGGCAGTCTTTAAAGCAGATATCACGCTTCTGATGATGGATAAGCTCGCAACGCGGACAGGGGCGTACCTTCAGGTTTTACGAGGGGAAATTTTAAACGAGTTTTAAAATAAATATATAAATATTTTATTTTTTAATAAATACGTATAATTTGTATAAAGAATTAGCAATCAGACTGGACCACTGATCGGCTTCGAACATGATGTTTTCATATCTAAATTTTTCTAATTTTAATTATCAATTGTTACTCATTAGACTGTGTTGATATGAACACTAATACACCGGCGCTTCCGCCATATTTAAGATGGAAAATATTCCTATTGGAGATTGAAAATTATGGAAAAAAATCTGTAAACAAGTGAGAAGTATTTTTAAAAATGTGGAACTAATTATTTTGTTTTTCGTCAGCTATCTCGAACGAATTAAACAATTTTTTTCAATTCGAAACATTACTCAGTGATTACTGTTAAGAAATCAGCGGTAGAAAAAACAGTATATTCTGTCAGAATGTTTTATCAGGATTAAATATTGTAAGATTTTTAAATTAAATTATCTCTAATTTGCATATCTTCAAAAACAACTAACTTACAGTCGAATCTAATATTTTAGCGATATAATCTTGTACATTTTCTACATTCTGCAGTTATTTCAAGATCTAAAGATTTTGTTAGAACCAAAAAAAATGTTATTCTACTATTGAATAATACAAATAAATTTAATATAATTTGTACAATATCGCAAACAATATCAATGCATTTTTGATAAAAACATAATGTACGACACTGCCACTTCCACTGGAATAAATTCTGTAAAAGTTGGGAATTTATTGTGCCTTTTGCTGTTTAGGGAATTCTTGTAAAATTTCAACAAACAACTAGGTACATGCATTTCTCAAATATTTTAAATTCTTCATACCTTGCATGAAATAATTTATTTGAGTTTACATTATTCTATAATTCTGTCATTGAACGTGTTATACAATGAAGTTAAATTACAAACAGGATTGTTAAATAAACCTAAAAATTGACAATGAGTTAAATACATAAGAAATTAAAGCTATTATAAAGATATATACCAAAGCCAGCCAAATATATGATATTGACTACATCTACGAGTAAGACAGAAAGCAGAGAATATTTGTTTTATTTTTGAAAGTCTAAGATACATTCTTCATTGTTTGATACTATGAAAAGTATAAATAAATATAATAGCAGATTTCATAGTAATTTAAATGAATTAGGATTAGTATAGTCTTTCCGATATCAATTGAAGAACCAAGAGGTTGGCAGTATATATACCAGGTTCAGTCGCTGACGCAGCAACTCGGCATTAAAATATTTGAAAAACTTGTTTCCATATTTATTTAGCCGTACCCATATGCAGGTCTGGTCGCCCAGTTGAAGAATGAGCGCGCGGGTAAACGCGGCACAAACACAGCCGCATTGGGCGACCTAGCCATAAATACAGTTGCCGACAAATAGTTCAAATAAAATTTGGACAGTTAAAAAATTATAAAAAAAGTGAAGAGGTTTATAGATAATGGTGGAAGCCACGGAAATGCCTGTGTTTATTATTAAATTTTATTAAATACCAGACCCTTTTACCTCACTTGTACATCCAACTCAACACACGCCAGAAACTTAAGACCCTTTCAAGCAATTAGTTGTACTCTTGCATGTTTATTGCCAATTCTTGCCACACTAGCTTGTATAGCGATAAATAAAATGTTCCAACATCGTCGGAAAATCTTACAAATAAATTTCCAGGTATACGAGGCCCTAGCCGTAATTAATGACATCAGTAAGTAGCGTGAGATGCCGAAACTATAACTCATTATTAACTGCAAAGGAATGAAGAAAGATGTTTTGGAAAATTCGTGACTTAAATTTCTAGGACGGCAGTTTTATGATATGAATATAACTTCATTAACAAACGGGTAATTTATAGA